GGGGGAGGGGGGGGTCAGGTGTGGCAGTGAGGTCAAAGGGTGGCAGCAACCCAGCCAAGGGGATTTGGGAGCAGGGGAGCAGCTCTGGGACCCCCTGTGTGCCTTTGGGACCCCCTGTGACTTTGGGACCCCCCGGGTGCCTTTGGGACCCAGCCACACGACCCTGGGGGAGCCAGAAGTGCCTTTGGGACGTGGCCAGGTGGCTTTGGGACACCATGACCGTTCCTGGGACGTGGCCAGGTGGTTTTGGGGGCTCTCAACCCCTCTAGGACATGGCCAGGTGGTTTTGGGGGCTCTCAGCCCCTCTGGGACCCGGTGGTTTTGGGGTCACTCCTGGCAGCCGGCCGTGTGGCTTTGGGAGCCCGTGAGCACCTCTGGGCCGTGGCCAGGTGGCTTTGGGACCCAGCCAGGTGGGTTTGGGAGCCATGAGCACCTTGGGGACCCGGCTGTGGGGACACATGAGTACCTCTGGGTCCTGCCCATGTGGCTTTGGGACCCCAGGAGCACCCCCAGGCCGTGCCCCCTCCTGCCCCAGCACTGTCACCCTGCCCCCCTCCTGGTGCCACCAGCTCTCCCAGTGGGACATGCCCTGCGGGGAGCAGAGCTGCTGGTCCCCCCAGGTCACCTCTAGGTCCCCCCCAGGTCCCCTCAGGCCCCCAATGTGTCCCCTGATTGTCCCCTGTGTCCCCAGGTTCGAGAAGCTGGACATCACATTGAGTGTCCCCTGTGTCCCCTGATTGCCCCCTGTGTCCCCAGGTTCGAGAAGCTGGACATCACACTGAGTGTCCCCTGTGTCCCCTGATTGTCCCCTGTGTCCCCAGGTTCGAGAAGCTGGACATCACATTGAGTGTCCCCTGTGTCCCCTGATTGCCCCCTGTGTCCCCAGGTTCGAGAAGCTGGACATCACACTGAGTGTCCCCTGTGTCCCCTGATTGTCCCCTGTGTCCCCAGGTTCGAGAAGCTGGACATCACATTGAGTGTCCCCTGTGTCCCCTGATTGCCCCCTGTGTCCCCAGGTTCGAGAAGCTGGACATCACACTGAGTGTCCCCTGTGTCCCCTGATTGTCCCCTGTGTCCCCAGGTTCGAGAAGCTGGACATCACATTGAGTGTCCCCTGTGTCCCCTGATTGCCCCCTGTGTCCCCAGGTTCGAGAAGCTGGACATCACACTGAGTGTCCCCTGTGTCCCCTGATTGTCCCCTGTGTCCCCAGGTTCGAGAAGCTGGACATCACATTGAGTGTCCCCTGTGTCCCCTGATTGCCCCCTGTGTCCCCAGGTTCGAGAAGCTGGACATCACACTGAGTGTCCCCTGTGTCCCCTGATTGTCCCCTGTGTCCCCAGGTTCGAGAAGCTGGACATCACATTGAGTGTCCCCTGTGTCCCCTGATTGCCCCCTGTGTCCCCAGGTTCGAGAAGCTGGACATCACACTGAGTGTCCCCTGTGTCCCCTGATTGTCCCCTGTGTCCCCAGGTTCGAGAAGCTGGACATCACATTGAGTGTCCCCTGTGTCCCCTGATTGCCCCCTGTGTCCCCAGGTTCGAGAAGCTGGACATCACACTGAGTGTCCCCTGTGTCCCCTGATTGTCCCCTGTGTCCCCAGGTTCGAGAAGCTGGACATCACATTGAGTGTCCCCTGTGTCCCCTGATTGCCCCCTGTGTCCCCAGGTTCGAGAAGCTGGACATCACACTGAGTGTCCCCTGTGTCCCCTGATTGTCCCCTGTGTCCCCAGGTTCGAGAAGCTGGACATCACATTGAGTGTCCCCTGTGTCCCCTGATTGCCCCCTGTGTCCCCAGGTTCGAGAAGCTGGACATCACACTGAGTGTCCCCTGTGTCCCCTGATTGTCCCCTGTGTCCCCAGGTTCGAGAAGCTGGACATCACATTGAGTGTCCCCTGTGTCCCCTGATTGCCCCCTGTGTCCCCAGGTTCGAGAAGCTGGACATCACACTGAGTGTCCCCTGTGTCCCCTGATTGTCCCCTGTGTCCCCAGGTTCGAGAAGCTGGACATCACATTGAGTGTCCCCTGTGTCCCCTGATTGCCCCCTGTGTCCCCAGGTTCGAGAAGCTGGACATCACACTGAGTGTCCCCTGTGTCCCCTGATTGTCCCCTGTGTCCCCAGGTTCGAGAAGCTGGACATCACATTGAGTGTCCCCTGTGTCCCCTGATTGCCCCCTGTGTCCCCAGGTTCGAGAAGCTGGACATCACACTGAGTGTCCCCTGTGTCCCCTGATTGTCCCCTGTGTCCCCAGGTTCGAGAAGCTGGACATCACATTGAGTGTCCCCTGTGTCCCCTGATTGCCCCCTGTGTCCCCAGGTTCGAGAAGCTGGACATCACACTGAGTGTCCCCTGTGTCCCCTGATTGTCCCCTGTGTCCCCAGGTTCGAGAAGCTGGACATCACATTGAGTGTCCCCTGTGTCCCCTGATTGCCCCCTGTGTCCCCAGGTTCGAGAAGCTGGACATCACACTGAGTGTCCCCTGTGTCCCCTGATTGTCCCCTGTGTCCCCAGGTTCGAGAAGCTGGACATCACATTGAGTGTCCCCTGTGTCCCCTGATTGCCCCCTGTGTCCCCAGGTTCGAGAAGCTGGACATCACACTGAGTGTCCCCTGTGTCCCCTGATTGTCCCCTGTGTCCCCAGGTTCGAGAAGCTGGACATCACATTGAGTGTCCCCTGTGTCCCCTGATTGCCCCCTGTGTCCCCAGGTTCGAGAAGCTGGACATCACACTGAGTGTCCCCTGTGTCCCCTGATTGTCCCCTGTGTCCCCAGGTTCGAGAAGCTGGACATCACATTGAGTGTCCCCTGTGTCCCCTGATTGCCCCCTGTGTCCCCAGGTTCGAGAAGCTGGACATCACACTGAGTGTCCCCTGTGTCCCCTGATTGTCCCCTGTGTCCCCAGGTTCGAGAAGCTGGACATCACATTGAGTGTCCCCTGTGTCCCCTGATTGCCCCCTGTGTCCCCAGGTTCGAGAAGCTGGACATCACACTGAGTGTCCCCTGTGTCCCCTGATTGTCCCCTGTGTCCCCAGGTTCGAGAAGCTGGACATCACATTGAGTGTCCCCTGTGTCCCCTGATTGCCCCCTGTGTCCCCAGGTTCGAGAAGCTGGACATCACACTGAGTGTCCCCTGTGTCCCCTGATTGTCCCCTGTGTCCCCAGGTTCGAGAAGCTGGACATCACATTGAGTGTCCCCTGTGTCCCCTGATTGCCCCCTGTGTCCCCAGGTTCGAGAAGCTGGACATCACACTGAGTGTCCCCTGTGTCCCCTGATTGTCCCCTGTGTCCCCAGGTTCGAGAAGCTGGACATCACATTGAGTGTCCCCTGTGTCCCCTGATTGCCCCCTGTGTCCCCAGGTTCGAGAAGCTGGACATCACACTGAGTGTCCCCTGTGTCCCCTGATTGTCCCCTGTGTCCCCAGGTTCGAGAAGCTGGACATCACATTGAGTGTCCCCTGTGTCCCCTGATTGCCCCCTGTGTCCCCAGGTTCGAGAAGCTGGACATCACACTGAGTGTCCCCTGTGTCCCCTGATTGTCCCCTGTGTCCCCAGGTTCGAGAAGCTGGACATCACATTGAGTGTCCCCTGTGTCCCCTGATTGCCCCCTGTGTCCCCAGGTTCGAGAAGCTGGACATCACACTGAGTGTCCCCTGTGTCCCCTGATTGTCCCCTGTGTCCCCAGGTTCGAGAAGCTGGACATCACATTGAGTGTCCCCTGTGTCCCCTGATTGCCCCCTGTGTCCCCAGGTTCGAGAAGCTGGACATCACACTGAGTGTCCCCTGTGTCCCCTGATTGTCCCCTGTGTCCCCAGGTTCGAGAAGCTGGACATCACATTGAGTGTCCCCTGTGTCCCCTGATTGCCCCCTGTGTCCCCAGGTTCGAGAAGCTGGACATCACACTGAGTGTCCCCTGTGTCCCCTGATTGTCCCCTGTGTCCCCAGGTTCGAGAAGCTGGACATCACATTGAGTGTCCCCTGTGTCCCCTGATTGCCCCCTGTGTCCCCAGGTTCGAGAAGCTGGACATCACACTGAGTGTCCCCTGTGTCCCCTGATTGTCCCCTGTGTCCCCAGGTTCGAGAAGCTGGACATCACATTGAGTGTCCCCTGTGTCCCCTGATTGCCCCCTGTGTCCCCAGGTTCGAGAAGCTGGACATCACACTGAGTGTCCCCTGTGTCCCCTGATTGTCCCCTGTGTCCCCAGGTTCGAGAAGCTGGACATCACATTGAGTGTCCCCTGTGTCCCCTGATTGCCCCCTGTGTCCCCAGGTTCGAGAAGCTGGACATCACACTGAGTGTCCCCTGTGTCCCCTGATTGTCCCCTGTGTCCCCAGGTTCGAGAAGCTGGACATCACATTGAGTGTCCCCTGTGTCCCCTGATTGCCCCCTGTGTCCCCAGGTTCGAGAAGCTGGACATCACACTGAGTGTCCCCTGTGTCCCCTGATTGTCCCCTGTGTCCCCAGGTTCGAGAAGCTGGACATCACATTGAGTGTCCCCTGTGTCCCCTGATTGCCCCCTGTGTCCCCAGGTTCGAGAAGCTGGACATCACACTGAGTGTCCCCTGTGTCCCCTGATTGTCCCCTGTGTCCCCAGGTTCGAGAAGCTGGACATCACATTGAGTGTCCCCTGTGTCCCCTGATTGCCCCCTGTGTCCCCAGGTTCGAGAAGCTGGACATCACACTGAGTGTCCCCTGTGTCCCCTGATTGTCCCCTGTGTCCCCAGGTTCGAGAAGCTGGACATCACATTGAGTGTCCCCTGTGTCCCCTGATTGCCCCCTGTGTCCCCAGGTTCGAGAAGCTGGACATCACACTGAGTGTCCCCTGTGTCCCCTGATTGTCCCCTGTGTCCCCAGGTTCGAGAAGCTGGACATCACATTGAGGGTCCCCTGTGTCCCCTGATTGTCCCCTGTGTCCCCAGGTTCGAGAAGCTGGACATCACATTGAGTGTCCCCTGTGTCCCCTGATTGCCCCCTGTGTCCCCAGGTTCGAGAAGCTGGACATCACGCCCAAGAGCGCGCAGAAGCTGAAGCCGGTGCTGGAGAAGTGGCTGCGGGAGGCGGAGCAGCGGCAGCGGGAGGGGCAGCAGCACCTGCTGGAGTTCGTGGGGGGCGAGCCGGGCAAGAAGCGCAAGCGGCGCACCTCGTTCACGCCGCAGGCGCTGGAGGCGCTCAACGCGCACTTCGAGCGCAACGCGCTGCCCACGGGCGCCGAGATCACGCGCATCGCGCAGGAGCTGCGCTACGAGCGGGAGGTGGTGCGGGTGTGGTTCTGCAACCGCCGCCAGACCCTCAAGAACACCAGCAAGCTGAACGTGTTCCACGTGCCCTGAGCGCGGCGCCCGGCCCGGCTCTGCCCCGCCGCCCGCCGCCCGGCCCGCCTCCAGCGGCTCCCGGTGCCGCCAGCCGGGAGCGCCGGGAGCGCCCCGGGGCCGCCCGGCCTCCTGCCATCAGCACTTTGGGCACTGGTTCTGTCCCTCTGCCGCCTGGTTCCACCACCACGCCTGTCCCTCTGCCACCTGGCTCCATCTCCACACCTGTACCCGTGTCCAGCACACCTGTGCCTGTGTCCAGCACACCTGTATCTGTGTCCATCACACCTGTACCCATGTCCAGCACACCTGTATCTGTGTCCAGCACACCTGTATCTGTGTCCATCACACCTGTACCCGTGTCCAGCACACCTGTATCTGTGTCCAACACACCTGTATCTGTGTCCAGCACACCTGTACCCATGTCCAGCACACCTGTACCTGTGTCCACCATGCCCAGACCTGTGTCCAGCACACTTTTACCTGTGTCCAGGCCCTCACCTGCCCCTCAGCAACTCCCACATGCCCTAAACTGGGAGCACCCGGGTTCCCCGGCCTCCTGCCATCAGCACTTTGGGCACTGGTTCTGTCCCTCTGCCACCTGGTTCCATCACCACACCTGTACCTGTGTTCAGCACACCTGTGCCTGTGTCCTCTACACCTGTACCTGTGTCCACCGTGCCCATACCTGTGTCCAGCACACCTGTGCCTGTGTCCTCTACACCTGTACCTGTGTCCAGCACACCTGTGCCTGTGTCCTCTACACCTGTACCTGTGTCCACCGTGCCCATACCTGTGTCCAGCACACCTGTACCTGTGTCCAACACTCAACGTCTTCCACATGTTCTGAACTGGGAGCACTGGGAGCATCCCAGTTCCCAGTCACAGTCCCCCCTGACCACCTGCCATCAGCACTTCGGCCACTGATTTTGTCCCTTTGGCCGCTGATTTTGTCCCCTTGGTCACTGGTTTTGTCCCTGTGGCCACCCCCGTGTCCCTCCAGCCCTGTGCCCGTACCTGTGCCCACCCCACTGTGCCCTCAGCGCACTGAACTGGGAGCACTGGGAGCCCCCTGTGTGTCCCACCAGTCCCAGCCCCTTGACCTCCAGCCATCAGCACTTTGGCCGCTGGTTTTGTCCCTTTGGCCACGGATTTTGTCCCTCTGCCCCCGTGCCTGTACCTGTGCCCACCTGTGCCTGTGTGTGCCCCCCGTTCCCTCCTCTCACACACGGCCCGAGCGTGTCGATGTCACACCTCCCCCACCTGTGACACCCGTGGTGACAGACCCCCCCGAGTGTCACACGCCCACCCAAAATCAGCGATTTCCATTTTCCTGGGTTTTGCCCTTTTTCCTGTGTTACTGAGGCGATGTTACGGCTCACCAGGGGCGACCCCAAATTTGTGTCACCCCCACTTTGCGGGTCCCCCACCTCGTGAGGGGCTTCTGGGGGTGATCCCCCACCTTGGGGACGTCCCGTGGGCGGCTTTTGGGGACATCACCCCTGGGTTTGGGGGGCGTGAACCCCAAAACAGAGGCAGCGCCCCTTCCCCAGCTCCCCCTGCCCTGAGTCCCCCCGGGAGCGATGGGAGGGGAGCTTTGGGGGGGACACGGGGGCGCCCGCTGGGGCCGCGACAGACTGATGCACTTGATGTAGTGGTGTGAAATAAACAGTATTTTTCTTTTTTCTTTTCCTTTCCCCTTTTTTCAGGGTTTGGGGGGTGGGGCGGGGGGTCCTTCCTCATCCTCGGCCCCGTCTGCGGCCGGAGCAGAGGCAGCGGCGGGAATCGAACCTGCGGCCCCGCGGGAGGCGCCACACACAGCCCAGCGCCGCACGCCGCCGCGGCCACGCCCCCCAGCCAATCCCCGAGCGGCCTGCCCGGCGCGCAGCTCTCTATTGGATTTTATGGCCGCCCGTCATGTGGCAAGGCCAGGTCTCATTGGCTGAGCGGGGCGGAGGGGCGGGACCGCCCGCCCAGCGGCGGGGGTGGGGCCGCCGCCTCCATCTTGGCGGAGCGGCGCGTTTGGGGGTCCCGGCCCGGAGCGGGGGGGGGGCCCGGACTGGGGGTCCCGGCCCGGATTGGGGGGTCCGGGCTCGGATCGGGGGGTCCCGGCCTGGACTGGGGGGTCCCAGCCCGGACTGGTGGGGGTCCGATCCCGGATTGGGGGAGTCCCGGCCCGGACTGGGGATCCCGGCCTGGACTGGGGGGTCCTGGCCTGGATTGGGGGGGTTCCCTTGCGGGAGTTCAGGATTTTGGGGTCCCCTTGGGTGCAGCCCTGAGAGGGGAGTGCAGGATTTTGGAGGTCCCTTGGGTGCATCCCCTTGAGGGGAGTGCAGGATTTTGGGGGTCCCCCCGAGGTGTTCCCTTTGAGCGGGGGTGTCGCTGGGTTTTGGGGTTCATTTGCCTGTGGTAGCGGGGTTTGGGGGTCCCCAAATTAATCACTGCAGGAGAGGGTCCTCAAGAGGTCCGGGGGGCTTTGGTACCCCCAGAAATCAGGGGGAGGTGTTGGGGTGCCCCGAGGAGCCCCTGGCGTGGGGTGACACTGAAGACCCTGTTTTGGGGTGACCCCAAGTCCTCCTCACACTTGAGGTACCCCCAAAGCCCCCTGGTTTTGGGGGAATCCCTGAAAGCCCCTTTTTGGGGTGACCCCAAGGACCCGCGTGTTTGGGGGTGCTCCAAGCCCCACTTTTGCCTTGCCCCCAAGACACCCCATTTTTGAGTACCCCCTGAGCCCCCCCATTTTTGGGGTGTCCCAAAGACCCCCCCCCGTTTTTGAAGTGACCACAACAACCCCATTTTTTGGGTGGTGACCCTGAGGACTCCTGGTTTTTGGAGTGACCACGCCAACCCCGTTTTCTGGGGGGTGACCCTGAGGACCCCCCGTGTTTGGGGGTGAGCCGGTGGCCGTTTTCGGGGTGCCTCGGGGCCATGGCGTGGGCGCTGAAGCTGCCGCTGGCGGACGAGGTGATCGAGTCGGGGCTGGTGCAGGATTTCGACGCCAGCCTCTCGGGCATCGGGCAGGAGCTCGGCGCCGGCGCCTACAGCATGAGGTACCGGGGACCCCAGAGCTGACAGGGCACCCCAAAACTGACAGGCACTCCGAAACAGGGCACCCCAAAACATCCCGGGGAAGGCAGGGGCCGTGCGGGGAGCGGGGAGCCCCAAAATGAGCTGGAGGTTGAAGGTGTCGGGCGGCACCTCAGCGCTGGTACCCGAAGGAGGAGGGGACCCTGGAATCTCCAGAGGCACCCCGAAATCTTCATGGATCCCCAGAGTCCCCAAGGGAAACCCCAAAATCTCCAGGGGATCCCCAGAATCTCTGGGGGTCCCCAGAATCGCCAAGGGAAACCCTAGAGTCACCAAGGGAAACCCCAAAATCTTCATGGCTCCCCAGAATCGCCAAGGGAAACCCCAAAATCTCCGGGGGGTCCCCAGAATTGCCAAGGGAAGCCCCAGAATCTCTGGGGGTGCCCAGAATTGCCAAGGGAAACCCCAAAATCTTCATGGCTCCCCAGAATCGCCAAGGGAAACCCCAAAATCTCCGGGGGGTCCCCAGAATTGCCAAGGGAAGCCCCAGAATCTTTGGGGGTCGCCGGAATTGCCAAGGGAAGCCCCAAAATCTCCAAGGGAAACCCCAAAATCTTCATGGATCGCCCAAAAGCCCCAGGGGAAACCCCAGAATCTCTGGGGGTCCCCAGAATCACCAAAGGAAACCCCAAAATCGCCAGGGGTCCTCAGAACCCCTAAGGGAAACTCTAAAATCTCTGAGGGTCCCCAAAATCCCCAAGGGAAACCCTAAAATCTCTGGGGGTCCCCAGAACCCTGGGGCTTTTCCAGGGTCTCCATGAGGGATCTCAAAATCCCCGGTGGGAACTCCAAAATCTCTGGGGTCCCCAGAATCTCCAGGGGGATCCCAGAATCTCTGGGGGTCCCCAGAACTGCCAGGGGGGACCCCAGAATCTCCAGGGTCCCCAGAGTGGCGGGGGGTGCCAGGGGCACGGGGAGCCCTGAACTGTGCCAGAGTTGGAGCACCAAGGGGGGAAATGGGGGCGTTGGGGGGGAATTGGGGTTGGGAGTGGGATGGAGCAGGGGGGGAGTTGGGAAGGAGTTGGGATGGAGTTGGGATGGAGTAGGGGAGAGTTGGAACTGGAATTATGGCTGAAGTAGTGCACGGAGCTGTGTTTGGGGCTGGGATGGATTCGGGATGCAGTAGGGATTGTTTTAGGATGGATTTGGGGTGCCACTGGGATAGATTTGGGATGGTTTGGGATGGATTCAGGATGCCATTGTGATGGGTTTGGGATGCAGTAGGGATGGATTCGTGATGCAGTTGGGATGGATTCAGGATGAATTAATTTGGGATGCAGTTGGGATGGATTCGGGATGGATTCAGGATGCAGTAGGGATTGATTTAGGATGGATTCAGGATGGATTTGGGATGCAGTAGGGATGGATGTGGGATGCAGTTGGGATGGATTCGGGATGCAGTAGGGATTGATTTAGGATGCAGTTGGGATGGATTTGGGATGGGGTAGGGATGGATTCAGGATGGATTTGGGATGCAGTTGGGATGGATTCAGGATGGATTTGGGATGGATTCAGGATGGATTTGGGATGCCGTTGGGATGGATTCAGGATGAATTTGGGATGCCGTTGGGATGGATTTGGGATGGATTCAGGATTAATTTATTTGGGATGCTGTTGGGATGGATTTGGAATGCAGTAGGGATGGATTCGGGATGCAGTAGGGATTGTTTTAGGATGGATTTGGGGTGCCACTGGGATAGATTTGGGATGGTTTGGGATGGATTCAGGATGCCATTGTGATGGGTTTGGGATGCAGTAGGGATGGATTCGTGATGCAGTTGGGATGGATTCAGGATGGATTTGGGATGCACTTGGGATGGATTCAGGATAGATTAGGGATGCAGTTGGGGTAGATTTGGGATGCACTTGGGATGGATTCAGGATAGATTCGGGATGCAGTTGGGCTGGAGCTGTGGTTGGAGTAGGGAAGGAGCAGGGCTGGAGTTACAGCTGGAATTGTGGTTGTTGTAGTGGTTGGAGTCAGGATTAGGAGTGCTCACAGGTGTGCCCAGGTGCTGACAGGTGTATTCAGGTGAGCCCCTCAGGCCAGATGTTGAGGGCACACCTGGAGCAGGGCCCAGGGGCAGAGCCGGCTTCCCGGTGGGGCTCCTCCTCCAGGTACCGAGGCCCAGGTGGGATTGAAGGAATCCCTGAGCCCCCCAGCTCACCTGTCTCAGGTGACTCTCCCGTCTCCGCAGCGACGTCCTGGCTCTGCCCATCTTCAAGCAGGAGGAGTCCAGCCTGCCCCCGGAGAGCCAGGACAAGCTGCTGCCCTTCCAGTACGTGCTGTGCGCCGCCACCTCCCCCGCCGTCAAGCTGCACGACGAGACCCTCACCTACCTCAACCAAGGTGAGCCACACCTGTCCTGCGCAGGTGCCCTGGGAGCCACCCCAGCAGGAGGGTTCTGCCTGTGGAAGTTGTTGTTTTCCCCGGGGATTGTTGATTTTTGGGGTGTTCCTGTTGGGAAATGGGAGGTGGCGGTGCCTGCACCTGGCTGTGCGCTGCCCAGGTGGAGCAGGGGTCACCTGGGGGGCTCACCACGTTAAAGGGTGGGGGGTGGTAACAGGTGTGTGTACAGGTGTGTGCAGGGTGGATGCAGGTGTGTGTAAGGTGTGTCTGTACAGGTGTGTGCAGAGGATTATAGGTATGTGTAAGGTGTATCTGTACAGGTGTGTGTAAGGTGTATCTGTACAGGTGTGTGCAGGGTGGGTACAGGTGTGTGTAGGGTGTATCTGTACAGGTGTGTGCAGAGGATTACAGGTGTGTGTAAGGTGTATCTGTACAGGTGTGTGCAGGGTGGGTACAGGTGTGTGTAAGGTGTATCTGTACAGGTCAGTGCTGGGCAGCTCTGCAGGATGGCAGTTACAGGTTCAGGCTGTACCTGCTGCTTTCAGGTACAGCTGGAAGGTCTGGGTTGGCGGGACCCCAAATGAACAAGGAGGACAGGTACAGGTGACAGAAAACCCTCAGGTGCCCTCCTGCCCCCAGGTCAATCCTACGAGATCCGGATGCTGGACAACAGGAAACTTGGGGAGCTGCCCGAGATCAACGGGAAGCTGGTCAAGGTGAGCAGAGGGCACAGGTGCCCCTGGCCAGGTGTGCCCATGCCAGCCAGGTGCCCTCCGGGGCCCTGCAGCTGGGTGGGGCTGGGAGATACACCTGTTTGGGAGGGGAGGGTCCTTCCCTTTGCCCCTTTTTGGCACAGGGAAGGGCTGCACATCTGGCCAGGTGTGCCAGGGCAGCTCCAGGTGATGTTTCCCCCTTCCCCAGAGCATCTTCCGGGTGGTTTTCCATGACCGGCGGCTGCAGTACACGGAGCACCAGCAGCTGGAGGGCTGGAGGTGGAACAGGCCTGGCGACAGGATCCTGGACATAGGTGAGTCTCACCTGGCTGGGGCAGCTGGGAGGTCCCAGGTGGGCCTCACCTGTTCCCCCCGCAGATATCCCGATGTCCGTGGGGATCATCGACCCCCGCGCCAACCCGACACAGCTCAACACCGTGGAGTTCCTGTGGGATCCCTCCAAGAGGACGTCAGTGTTCATCCAGGTGAGGCACAGGTGGGCACTGCCTCACACCCAGGTGAGGCACAGGTGG